CAGTGTTTTTTCCCCCCTCTACAGAGACACACCTCTCTCTCTCTCTCTCTCTCTCTCTCTCTCTCTCTCTCTCTCTCTCTCTCTCTAACAAGTTTACTCATTATAAAGTATGATATTCAAATAAAGTCCATTTCCAGGTCACTGCCACCCATTGGTTCCACTGAGTCTACTTCTCTGCTAAAGAATTAGTGATGGATCCAGTGCTCAAGTTTGCCAATAGTAGTGGTCTAAAAATTGTCTTTTTGAAACGGGGTTTCCCTGTAGCCCCAGCTGTCCTGGAACTTACTAAGTAGACCAGCCTGGCCTTGAACTCACAGAGATCTACCTGCCTCTGCTTCCCAAATGCTGGGACTACAGGCCAGTGCCACCACGCCCAGCTAATTGATTTCATTTTTAAAAAGAGAGAGAATGCTGAGCATAGTAGAGTATGCCTTTAGTCCCCACACGTGGGAGGAAGAGACAGGTGAATCGAAGCTAGCCTGGTCTACATAGTGAGTTCCAGGCCACCGGGGCTACAGGAAGACCCTGTTGAGAGACAGAGCGAGAGCGAGATCAGAGAGAGAGAGAGAGAGAGAGAGAGAGAGAGAGAGAGAGAGAAATGAATGAGGGCAGCAGCAATTTGGCAGGGGGTTCAGGAAGAGCCACACAAGTATTTATCACTGGAAAACAGCAATGTTCAAGGTCCACAACAGTATTCTGCCCTAGTAAGGGATGTTGGTTACCTCTCCCAGACTCAATATTAAGCTAATTAAATATGAGGGGTGATGGAGTATCAGACATGATGTAATGGTATAGTATAATCAGAAACCTGCAGACCCACATGCAGTTCTTGAAGTACTGCTGCCATTTGACAAGGCCAGCCTTCGCAGTTTGCGATCTCTCCTTTGTAGACTCTTCAGTGTGTTCTACCTCCTCTTTAAATCTGTTCAATAATTTTTTCCATTTTCCTGTCAACTTCTGAAGCATTTCTAAGTCTGCAGTGTCCTGAAATGCATAGAATCAATTTATTCATTTATTCATATAAACAAATGTTGATTGGCATGTACAAGGCCATTATTAATATTGTAATACTAGAGAACTTCATAGGAAATGGATCAAGAAATTGAAAAGATGTTCCTCTTTCAAAATGTCATCAGTGAAATTGATGATAGATTTTTCTACAGTGCATACATTATTATGGACAAGAATTTTCCCTTTGCAACATGAACCCAGTTTTCCCACAGGATTTTCACAGGAGCAGAGTGGTGCACTGGAATGAACAGGGACCAGGAAGCCAGGCAGAACTAGAGATGTATCCAAGACCATTGCCCATGGAGTAACCTTGGGTGGCAATATTTAAAATTCATTATCCAGGACTGGAGAGATGGCTCAGCAGTTAAGAGCACTGGTTGCTCTTGCAGAGGACCCAGGTTCAGTTTCTAGCACCCACATGACAGTTAACAACTGTCCTTAACTCCAGTTCCAGGGGATCTGATGCCCTCTTCTGACCTCCTTGGGCATTGCATGACACGGGTTCACTTACATCCATGCAGGCAATACAATCATACACATAAAATAAAAATAATAAATAAAACATTTCTATAAAATGTTCATTATCCATAAAATAAAGGACCCTAATAGATATTGGATCTAGACAGGATCATTTAAGAGTTAGGACTAGAGTGATGGCTCAGCAATTCTAAGAGTGCTTGCTACTCCTGCAGAGGTTCTTGGCTCAGTTCCCAGAACCCATATCAAGCAGCTCACAACTGCCTGTGATTTCCCCTTGAAAGGAATCTGACACCCTCTTCTGGTCTCCCAGGGCATCTTCATACATATAGTGCGTATAAACTCCCTCAGGCACACACACATACACATAAATTAAAAACAGTAAGTCTTGTAAAAAATAAGAGTTAAATGACTGGGAGGTATTCTTCCCTTGAGCATCTCCCTCTCTCAGGAATTCTTTCTCATGTTTCCTTAATAAATCTACATTTGCTCTGCTTTAAAGAAAAAAACAGGAGTTAAATGACTGGTGTAAATAGTTTGAATCAGTAAAAACACACTAGATGCCAGTTCTTTTTTTTCCTCCCTTGAGGAATCATTAAATTTTCTCATAAAACTGCTTAAGAATGCACCAATAGCAAGCATCTCTCTCTCTCCTCTCTCTCTCTCTCTCCCCCCCTTCTCTTTCTGTCTCCTTTTCTCCTTCCCCCCTTCTCCTCTCTTTCTTTGTAGCCCAGGCTGGCCTCAAACTTGTGATCTTCCTTCTTTACCCACCCAAGTTCTGGGATTACAGGCATGTGTCACCATGCCCAACCATAGCTACTTACTTTATTTTAGTTTAAGCACTAATAAATAGATAACTCTATGAATAACTGTGGAGTGTTATTAGACTTAGAGGTATTGTTTTAATTACAATGGAAGACAAAGATAAAAGCCTTTATTCCTCTTTCTTTGTATTTTCATTCAGCCCACAATGAAGCAAAAATGTAGAAATGCACATCAGAAACTATAGATTTAGCAAAAAAAAAAATGTTTCAATGTCTAACATTTTCTTTTTGTCCATGACTTAGGTAAATGGCACTTTACCTTAGTTGACAGCATTATGATGAAATGCTTAGCATATTTAGCCCAGCCTTTTTCATTGAGGAAGAGTTTTTTAGCCAGTATGACTCTATTTCTTTCAATTACCTATAAAAAAATACTATAATCAGAACCCTAAAACCTTAACAAACTACCATATTTTACTTACAATGTTTTCACATACCAATTTTTTAGTTAGTCATTATTTCACTGAAAATTTCTTATTTAAATAATTTGAATCACAAATTCTCACTTTTCTAAAACTGTTGAACTGGAACTAAATTATAGTACAATACTTCTGGGTAAGATGGCAGACCACAAGCTGCCTTTGTGTAATTCTGTAAAGGAGAGAGAATAAGAAAATGCAGACTATTCCAAAGAGAAAGAGAGAAAAACCTTCGGAACTTCACAAAGATACCTGAACAGGGTGGAGAAAAAGAAAAGCAACACATGCAAAAGAAGCCAAGCTGGGGCTAGGACGCTGGCTCCGAGGGTACAGTACTCTAAATGTGAGGACCCGAGTTCAAATCCTCAGAACCCATGTAAAACCAGGCATGATTGCAAACGTCTGTAATCCCAGTCTCTTACAGTGAGGTGGAGGTGGAGACAGGAGCATCCCCAGAAGTCCTCAAGCCAGATAGCCTAATGTTTGCTGTGATAAAAACAAAGTAGAAGGTGAGGACCAATACCTAAGGTTGTCCTCTGACCTCCATACAAGCACAGTGGCATATGCCTGTCCTCATTCACATGCATGAACATACATACATTGTTCTAGTTTGTTTCTCCATTGTTGTGACAAAATACTCTAACCAATACCAACTTGGAGAGGAAAGGGTTTATTTGGCTCACATCTCCCAGGTCACAGTTCATCACTGAGGGAGCTGAAGGTAGGAACTCAGGGCAGGAACCTGAAGGCAGGAGCTGAAGCACAGGCCATGGAGGAATGCTGCTTCTTGGCTTGCTCCTCTTGCCCCTGCTCAACCTGCTCCTCCCTCCCTCCCTCCATCCCTCCCCTCCTTCCTTCCTTCCTTCTTTCTTTCTTTCCTTTTCTTTTTCCTTCCTTCCTCCTTCTCTCCCTTCCTTCCTTCCTTCCTTCCTTTCTTTCTTTCTTTCTTCTTTTTCTTTCTTTCTTTCATCTCCCTGAACCCCAGCTGGGCTGGATCTGGCTATGTAGACCAGGCTGGCCTTGAATTCACAGAGATCTGCCTGCCTCTGCCTCCTGAGTGCTGGGCTTAAAGGTGTGTGCCACCACACCTGGCCCCCAAGAGTCACCTTTTGTACATATTAGAATTAGTATACATTAAGCATCCTAACTTTTTGAAGTATTAGTATACATTATAACTACATATTAACATACAATAAAGATGAAATTCATCATATGTTCCCAAACAGATAAAGAATTCACACTCATAGTTTATAGGTTCTGGTGGGGGAAGAAACAAAACAGGCCCAAATTGTGCAATAGCTAAATCCCCCTGAAAAATGAAAAAAAGAAATTTAACTTTCCATCTTCAGTGCCCACAAAAGCTACATTAATAAATATATACCTTCTTTCTTCTGTGGTTTTGTCTGTGTTATTAAAACCTATAAAATGAAACTTTAAATATAAGTGTCTGCATTGTGAACTCAGATGAACAAACCTTTAGGGCCAAATCATATGTGGCTGAGCTCCAAATTTCTCTCTCTCTCCTTAGCTGTTTAACGTCATTCTCCATCCTTCCTCTTTGTAATGTATATAAGTCATGATATTCTTCCAAAATTCTGAAAGAAAAATTAAATCCCTATTTAGACACTTTTTAAAATATCTTTATTATGAAAATAGACAATTTGTTCTTTTAAACCTCATTATAAAGTAATTATGGCACAATTGCTGGCTGTAGTGGTAACATTTTTTAGAGTGAAGTAGAAGAAAAATGTTCACATTTCATTTAAAAATATTGTAAAAGTCATGGTGAAAGTAATAACTCTAATATAATGTCCTCTGCTCCAAATACTTCTTACCTTGTTCTTTTGATACTCCAATGATAGGAAAATATATCGCTATATGTAATGAAAAACACAGAATAGGGCTCTGTGAGCAGAAAACATTTGCCGTGAGAGCCTGACAACTCAAGTTGGGATCGTGGGAACCCACATTAAAAAGTCAACTGCAGCAGCATGCACACCTGCACTAGTGCACACCTAATCCTGCACTCCTAAGGTGAGATGGGAGGCAGAGACAGGAGAATTGCCTGGAAGCTTGCGTGATGGCTACCCTGGAGTACACTGTGCAGTGGAAGAAATAACAAACCATTCCTCAAACAAGGTAGGAGGCATGAACTGACTCCTAAAAGTTGTCTTCTGGACTCCACATGTGCATGCCTGCACACACGCACACACACGCACGCACGCACACAAATTTAAAAGGTTTTTAAAAGAATTTAAAGTTTTACAAAAAGGAATGAGAATAAAAGTTATTTCACGCTATCAGCTTTAGATTTGGTGGATTTATGACAGTCTTCATCTTTTCATTGTATTTTATGGCCGAACAGTGACATATGGTTCCTGTCATAACCGTCTGCCTTTGTAACCTGTGCCATAATAGTGCAAGAACAGCCAAGGACACTATGTGAAGCCATGAGGCTTCATTTATTGACACTAACCCAGAAATGATATTCTAAGGGCTCTATTATGTAATTTTTAACCTTCATAATAATCTTAAGAACCAGGTATTATTTTAACCCTAATTTTACATATGGGCAAACTGAGAGCCAGGAAAGTTAAGTGATTAAGCTTCTCCTCTTCCCATCCTCTGTTTTTGAGAAAGGGTCTCACTATGTCCCCCTGGCTGGCCTGGAACTTGCTATGTAGACAAGGCTGGCTTCAAACTCACTGCTGCCTAAGTCCTTTCACCTTCCATTATTAAGCTATATAAACTTAACTTACTTGGCATTCTTTTCAGCTTCTAAAAGAGCTTCTGCCAAATCTTTGTGGACTTTCTCTGCTTCCCTCGTTAATTGCTTATCATGTGCCCGAACCAGACAAAGTTCCCTGAAATAAAGCAAAGAATTTCAAACTCACAGTTGGAAAACTTCCCCAAAATTTCCACCCTGGAAATCCGATTTACATACAGGCCATCTTTTCAGTTACCATTTATTTCCCTTCCTAGTTTTTCTACCTCATAAAACAAAATAAAAATCTGGTACATGTTCCTGATGGAATCTTCAGGTCTGGCAGTAGAATTGGGCTGGCAGGGAAAGGCAGAAAGAGTGGCAGATGTATCTTCTAGAACTGAGTAGAAGGAGGTACTGGCACACTGCACTGCCCGACTCGAACCTGCCTAGCCTGTGCTACACATTCTTGCCACTGGTCATCTTGACACAAGGTTAGCTCACTCACCATGATTGCTGTGTAATACTTTCTTTGGATTTTGAACTTTAGCATTCAAAATCATGGAACTGCTCTGTAAATGTGATAAGATAGATCTGTATCTTGGAAGGGAGAGCAACAGGTTCTTCTCTATCAGATACAGGCAGAGTCTTGACTTTCAGTTAAAATAGGAAGCTCATTTCTCTGCCTCTGCCTCCACGATATCCAGCTTTCACTTCTCTTGCTAGACACTAAAGCAAAGAGTCTGTCTTTAACCGTTCCTCTTTCTATGAATATTTTTCAGATGTGGTTTTGGCTTTTGCTTTGTGTGGCGGATAATCACAGTTTTTACCTTGTCATTTTCTCAATAACATTCTTGAAATTATATAGTTCTTCTAAAATGCGTTGATCCATCATTCGCTGGGTCACCAAGTCTTTGTAGAAGTCAATCATCTGCTGCGTGATTTGGTCAAGCATTTGCACGTACTTCTCTCTGTGTGAGAAACAAAGCAAACAAGACATTCATGGAAAAAGGGAGACAGGGAGGCTAGAAAATATACAAGAGAGGTGGTCATGTTAGAAAAAGAAACAGTAAACAGGCATCCACAGAACACATGTGGGAAGAAGGGTACAGAGAAAGAAAGGATCTAGGCTTCTCTGCCCACCCACACAAGTGAATCGGCAGTGATGGAGAACTGTAACCAGAGCCACAAGTGTTAGGAATATGTCTGAGACGTGAAACAAAAGTGAGGACTTGTTTGATTTCTTCTTCTAAATTATAAGCTATTTGGAGAGAGAAATCATGTCTTATATATCTACCTTTATATTAATAACATCAAACAAAGTACCTTGACTATAGTGAGAATTTTATATAGTTGAATTCATGAATGACACTTTTGTCATACTGACTAAATGTAAAAAGATACCAATTGTTTAAAAATGAAAAAAGACTTTTCATTCTAAGGGGTTATTTCTTTTTCTTTTGAATAAAACCTAACAATACATGTGGATATGGCCATAGACGATAAAGTAAAAATAACTGAACAGTCTTTATTTATATTAAAAGTGATCTAAGTGTGGCCGGGCATGGGGGTGCACGCCTTTAATCCCAGCACTTGGGAGGCAGAGGCAGGCAGATCTCTGTGAGCTCAAGGCCAGCCTGGTCTACATAGTGAGTTCCAGGACAGCTGGGGCTATAGGGAGACCCTGTCTCAAAAAGACCAAAAAAAAAAAAAAAGTAATCTAAGTGTGATGCCCAAGCATGAAGTCCTACAGTCATAATAGCTTTGTGTTACACTGGCCATAAGACTAATCTCACTCACTGACAGAATTACCCATTCCATGTTTAAACACTTAATGGGGAGGGGGGGTCAGTTATCAGCTCAATATGCAGCCTTTACATTAGGAAGTTCCTATGTGTAGGGGCTGGAGAGATGTCTCAGTGATTATAAGCACTGGCTGTTCTTGCAGAGGACCCAGGTTCAGTTCCCAGCACTCACATGGTGGCCAACAATCATCCATAACTCCAGTTACAGAAGATCCAATACCCTCTTCTGGTCTCCATGGGCATTGCACACATGTGGTATACTTACATACATTCAAGCAAAATACTCATACACATAAAATAAAAATAATATTTTTTTTTAAAAAAAGAAGGTTTGGGGGCTGGAGAGATGGCTCAGCAGTTAAGAGTACTGGCTGTTCTTACAAAGGAGCTAGTTCAGTTCTTAGCACCCACATGGTGGCTAACAACCATCAGTAACTCCTGTTCCATGGGATCCAACACCCTCTTCTGACCGCCACAGATATTTCATGCATTGGTGTACTTACATACATGTAGGGAAAACACTCAGACACATAAACTAAGAATAAATAAGCTTTTTAAAAGAAAGTTTTTATGTTTAAAAAACCTTCTTGGGACTGGAGAAATAGCTCAGGTTTGGTTCCCAGCACCCACTTGGTAGCTTACAACCACCTGTAACTCTGGCTCCAGGGAATCAACACCTTCTTCTTACATCTTTGGGCATCAGGCATGTACATGGCACACATGTAGTCATGTGAGTGAACACACATACACATATAAATCTTTAAAACACACGCATGCATGCATGCACCCCATCTTTTTTAGGCCTTCTCCTGGCATGTTCGGACTATATTCACTGAAGGGTCTCCCCAGTCCCCTATCACTTTTCAACATACAGTAGATTTGCACAAGAACATAAGTCTTTTAGGGCTGGAAAACAAAAAGAACAAACAAAAAGAAATGAAGTGAAAGTTGTTAGCAGTACTCAGTAAGTAAACCCAAGGTCAAGGTTGCCCAGGAAAAACATCAACACTGAGAAGCAGAGATTAAGCTTTGGGTTAGGGGTAGAATTCATAGGACTATTGCATAAACCCTGGATCTCAGAAGGAAGCCAATGCAAATCCTGCCACCTTCCTAAGCCCTGAGGACTCCAGTCTAAGAAAAAAATATCCTGATAAAAATCTAACTATATTCTCAGAATGCAAAATGAGAAAGAAGATATCCACGATCAATTACCAATAGTGGAGCTGAGACAGCTGCTATTGCTGCAAATTCTGTGGCATTTTAAAAGATAATAGATTATAAACAGTGTCATATCCACACATTTAGTAACTTATAAAATAGACAAATTCTCAGAAATAACAAACCACCTCAATCAGAGCAGATAACCCGCTTATATTCTATTAAAGCAACTGATTTGTAATTTAAAATCTTTGACCTCCACACCTCCCTCCCTCCCTCTCTCTCTCTCTCTCTCTCTCTCTCTCTCTCTCTCTCTCACACACACACACACACACACACACACACACACACACTAGATTAATATCATCTTAAAAATGTTTAAGAAGGCTGGAAGATGGCTCAGCAGTTAAGAGCACTTGCTACTCTTGTAGAAGACCCAAATTCCATTCCCATAGCAGCTCATAACCATCTGTAACTCCAGTGCCACGGGATTTGGCACCCTCTTCTGTTCTCCATGAGCACTGTGTGCGCATGGTACACATGCATACATGCAGGTAACACACTGGTACACATAAAATAAAAATAAATCAAGCTGGGTGTAGTGGCACATGACTTTAATCCTAGCACTTGGGAGGCAAAGCAGGCAGATCTCTATGGGTTTGAGGCCAGCCTGGTCTTCAAAGCAAATTCTAGGCTAGCCAAGGCTACAATAGTGAGACCTTGTCTCAAAAAAAAGGAAAGAAAAAAGAAACTGGTCGTAACCATCTGATAATGTTCCCCGTAATTCCACAGCAAGTGAAATACAGATTTTATTCTTTTGAATTTTGGAAAGGACCAATCATAAGAAAAAGAATTAAAATGACAATAGTATTTACCATTAGTAGCAATAATAACTACATTTACTAAGCACTTATTTCTGTGTGTTCATTTTTAATTAATTATAATGCCAGGAGTTCTGGGCCAGCCTGAACTACCTGAGACCCTGACTCAAAAATTAATTAGGGACTGGAGAGATGGTTCAGTGGTTAAGAGTGCTTACTACTTGTATTAGTCACTTTTCTGTTGCTGTGATAGAAACACTGACCCAAGCAATTTACAGAAGGAAGAATTTATTTGAGTTTATGGTTCCATTGGAATTACAGTCTGTCTTGGAGGGGAGGCATGGTGGCAGAGGTGGCTGGAGAAGAGGAGCAGAAGCTAAGCTCTACATCATCATGCAGGCACAGGAAACAAGAGACCGACTGGAGATCTGGCAAGGCTTAAGAACTCTCTAAGCCCACCCCCAGTGATGTGCTTCCTCCAGGATAGCCACACCTTCCAAAACCTCCCAAAACAGTGCCATCATCTGGGTACAAAATGTCCAAACACTTGGAGCCTATGGGGGACATTTTCATTAAAACCATCACACTACTCTTGCAGAAGTTGGGGGTTCAGTTCCAGATATCCATACCAGATAGTTCACAACTGCCTGTAACTCCAGTTCCAGAGGATCCAATGGTCCCTCTGGCCTCTGCCAGCACCTAGATTCACATGGTGAACATAAACTCATGCAGGCACACATACACACAAAAATACTAAATAAGTTTTTTAGTTAATTAATAAACTTTACCACATTCCTATGAAGCATCTCAATGCCTGTCACAGTAGACACTCAACAAACATCACTAGTTTATGAATGAACGAATGCATAAGTGAAAGCCTTCACAGTAGCTATTCACTCACAGATGAGAAAACTAAGGCTGAACTTTAGCAAGATCTCACCAAGATGAAGATGTTACTACAGAGAGATTATACTTAACTGTAATTCAGTCCTTTAATCTCAGTAGAAGGATATATTTTTGTAGGTTTCTCAAAAGTACTTATGAACATAATTTAAATAATAACACTCAAAAAGATGTGCAGATAGAAATATTGTAGTGAGCTCCATTAACTTGTGTAATTAATATACGTTCATAATTACCATTTAAATTTCTGAAAAGGAAACTGGACCATTCCATTAACAGTTCTAACCTGATTTTGGACAGTAGCTCTCCTCTGTCTACACAGTCCACACTGACCTGTCGAATCACTTCATGAAATACTGTGTTGTAAATGGTCTGTTCTGTCTTCAGCATGTGTAGCAGCTGGTGCATCTGGCAGAATTAAATAAGATAAGCAGCACGTATCATAGTGTGTCAATAAAAATTTTTTAGGATATAAATATGCTGAATGTCAACAAACTTATATAACACCTTGGTGAAGTCATTATACTTCATTCACATATACACATCTGCAAAAATTATACTGCTTTTAAAACTCCAGTGTGGGGATGACTTTTATTAATGGACATAATCTGGACTAATGATGTTAATTAACCCCAGGAAAACCATGTGTCCTTGCTCTTGGGTCTGATGACCCAGGTGTCTCCATGAAAAGACCGGATGGTCTGTGAAGATGAAGGGTAAGGCAGAACTTGAACTTGGACTTCCCCAATGAAGCTGGAAAAATCATTTTGAATAAAGTATGGGTGTAGCCTGATGGGGGGAGGTGGGGGTGAGGACCAGGGGAGGAGAGGAGGAGGGTACACAGTGGGAGAAACGAGGTTGCAGAGATGGGTTCCATTGGCACAGGGTGAGGACACAGACAGTGCCATCTGCATAGGTTAAGGTGACAAGAGAGACACATCAGCATTGTTCTGGGAGACAGACAGTTCTAATAGATAGGAGGAACTAGTATCCTCTGAATTCAGGTCCACTCTTAAAAATTTAAGAGGCAGTCTGTTTATTTAGGTTTATTTAGGTTATGATGTTGGTATAATAACAAACACCACACTCTAGTTCATTTTATACACTTTTTTTTTGTCTTTTTGAGACAGGGTCTCCCTGTAGCCCCAGCTGGCCTGGAATTCACTATGTAGACCAGGCTGGCCTTGAACTCACAGAGATCTGCCTGCCTCTGCCTCCTGAATGCTGGGATTAAAGGTGTGTGCCACGATACCCAGTTTATTTTAGATACTTTTATGTGATGCACTGAAAATATCAATATCACTTCTATGTTGCACCTACCAAAATGAAGCCTACCTAATGATGGGTCTACATCAGACAAACCCAAACTGAAGGGGAGTCTATAGAAAAACAAGTCTATGTACTGCAGAATGTCGAGGGTAAGAAAAGCAAAGAAATGCTGAGGAACAGTTTGGAGTTAAAGTTGTCTAAAGGAACAACAACTCAAAGCACCATGTGACCCTGAGATCCTAGACCATAGGGGTAAGGAGATGGGAAACAGGCTTAAAAACCCACTACAGGGACAACTGATGAATTACAAAGGTTGAATATGGGCTATATTAGATAACACTACCACACTGATGTTGAATTTCTCATGTGGATCTTAGGGATCCAGCTTAGGTCATGAAGCTTGGCAGCAAGCGCCTTTACCCACTGAGCCATTTCACCAGGCCTCTTTTGAGTTTTTGTTGTTTTCAGACAAGTTTTTGCTATGTAGTCCATGCTAGACTGGAACTAGAGATATTCCTGCCTCAGCCACCCAAGTGCTAAGACTATAGGCATGTACCACCCCAACCAGTTATAGATTTCAAAATAATCAGTAGAAGGACCAGAAATGTGACTCACTCCATAAAGTGTTTACAAAGCCCTGGGTTTGATCCTCAGCACACATAAACCAGGCCTGTAATCTCAGCACTTGGGAGGTAGAGGCAGGGGGACCAGAAGTTCAAGAACATCCTCAGAAGCTCAAAGTCATCTTCCAATACCTAGTGAGTTCAGGCAAGCCTGGGTTCATAAGACCCTGTCTTAAAAAACAAAAAAGCAGCCAGTGGAGCTTTTAAATGTTTCTGATAAATGCTGGAGGTACTGGATATGCCAATTATCCTGATCTGACCACCACACATTGTTTACATATAAGGAAATATCACATTGTAGTCCATAAATATGTAAAAATATTATGTATCTATGGGAGACAGGCTTGAGCCTAGAGTGGAAGTCCTAATGATAGCCATACAGCAGGCCTGAGGCAATGAGGTCTGGAGCCACAAGGAACACTTTGTGATTACCCCTTCATTTGGCAAGTCCCAGGGCTGACGCTTAAGGCTTGCCACTTCCTAGTCACCACCCCTTGAAATTCAAGTTTATCTACAGCTTGCAGCATGTGACCATAACAACAGCCATGGTCACGATTTACCAGAACCTGGGCTGCCCATATATGGCATAGTCATTGTATCGTTGTCTTATTGGTCCAGGGACCCTATATAAGCTTGTAAATTCCTCAGTAAAATAGATCTGCGTCACTGAACCTGGTCTCCTGTGTCTGAATGCGACTTCACTGACACAGTCTCCTCACCAGCCCTGGGGTCCGGGATTGGGTGGCGGCGGCAATGACCATGAAGGCGGACTGGATGGGCGGCTGCATGTATCAGTTAAAAATAAAACTAAGTAATAAGGCCAATCAGTGATGCCTTATGTCTAAAGAAATAGAGTAGCATGTAGTCATGCTCTGCATACAACAATCCATTCAGCAACCACATCTAAGGAAAGTTCAGTGTTTTTACTGTCCTTTTCCATGTTTGGATACACAAATCCTTACCATTGTGTTACAACTGCCTATGGTGTCCAGTATAGTTACTTGCTGTGGTGACTGGCTAGCCCATATGACCTAAGCATGTAGCAGTCTATACCAACTAGGTGTGTGTGTCTGGGTTCATATAAATATACATTATAATGTTGGTAGAGTAACAAAGTCACCTAATGATGCCTCTCTCACAATACATTCTCATTATTAAGAAAACTATAACTATAGTAACAATTAATGAAGTAGTATTTACCACATGCCAGGCACTCATGTGAGCACTTTATTAAACCCATTTAATCTCACAACAACACTATGTGGCAGGAACTAATTGACAGATTAGGAAATTGAGGTTCAAATCCATCAATAATTTACCAGAAGGCAGAGTTAGATTGTGGTGCAGACATTCTGCCTCCAAAGCGCAGGATCTTTACATGGGGTTACACTGACCAATGCAGTTACCCAGTTACCTTGGTTGGTCCTACATAGTCCTGATTTTCTATTCCAGCCCTCTCCAGCATTGAATCCATCACATCATTCAGCTGGATCACGTCTACCCTTTTATTAGGTTTCCTAAAAGATAAAAGTGACAGACTTAGGTAATTAGCATTACAATAGACCATCCTCGGGTGACAACAGGAGTATGAGCCATGTAAGGAAATACATACACCAAGAAATACAAATGGAAACTTAAAAGATTAAACCCTATCTATTGATCTAGTGGTATACAAGTAATAGTATAAAAATGCAAATTTTATGATTTTTTTTTTTTTTAAGCTCAAGGACAAAGTCTTATGAGGAAAACCCAGGGGTAGGCTAAGCTGTAAATCTCAGCTGCCTGGAGAAGGAAGACTCATGGTGGCAGACAGTCACACCTGGGGAGGGCAGCTTTAGAAAAAGGTCAAGGAAGCCCAAAGTGTTAGTTAGGAGTTTAAAAGCACACTTAGACTCTGCCAGGATCTGCAAGAAAAAGAAAAAAAACTATGCCTTTTTGAGGAAAGAAAAGCCAACTTCATGGTGTACCAGGCACTATCTGATTCTTTTCTTCAAAGTATTACGGAAATAGAAGAGCAAGTCAGATGCTAAAAGCTTTTGCAATGTGGTGGTAATTAAGAACTCTGCAGCAGGGAAAGCCTGGTGATAGAGCTGTCCCCATTTGGAGTGAATAGGAATCTTCCCCTGCCACCTGAGGTTATCCAGGTAGAAGTCTTTGTTTTCCAAAGCTATCACATTCCTGTAACCTTTACATTTCTATTACTTTTGTAGCCTGAGCTGGATAGCTTTAGTGTCAACTTGACACACCTGGGTTGAGGGAGCCTCAACTGGGGAATTTCCTTCATTGGACTGGCCTGTGGCCATGTCTGTGAGGCATCTTCTTGATTGTTGTATGATGTGGGAAGGCCCAGCACATTGTGGGTGGTGCCACCCCTGGGCAGGCCGGCCTGTGTTACATAAGAAAGCAGGCTGAGCAGGGGCCAGGAGAGCAAGCCAGTATGCAGCATTCCTCCATGGCCTGTGCTCCAGCTCCTGCTTCCAGGTTCCTGCCCTGAGTTCCTACCTTAGGCTCCCTGATGAACTGAGACCTGGGATATGTAAGCTGAATAAACCCTTTCCTCCCCAAGTTGGTATTGGTCAGAGTGTTCTGTCACAGCAATGGAGAAACAAAGACACAGCCCTATGCTATCTTACTTAATTACCATGTATACTCTATGTACCTTTTGCTTGCTTGCATTCCTGACAAGAGTATAAAAACCCTCCAAAACTTGAACAAAGGGTCAGACTCTTGATTCATGGGTCAGTCCCTCTAGAGTCAAATTAAACTTCCTCTCCTCACCTGACTTTGGCTATTGGTCTCTGATTTTTCCTTAACAAAAGAAAACTAATTCTCACCTCCAAAGATGTTATATAACCATTGTGTAGGATGGCAGGAACATAGAGAAAAGGTAGAGAGATAAACACCAAGCTTTTAACATTGGCTAGTTCAAAATGTGAAGAAAGAACAGAGACAAAGAGCAAAATGGAGAAATACTAACGGTTAACCAGGTAAACATAGAGAATAAAAGCACTTTGTAGCATTTAAATACTATGCTATGCATATATTTGAATATGCAATTAGTCATATGAAACAGGTAATTAAATGATGAAAATGCAGGCAATTATTGCTGTGGGACTCTTCTATAACTTATGTGTTTTTATTAATGACATATCAAGAAATATATGTATACATAATTATTCTTTCTGAGAATCACTTTAGAAAATAAACCATACTTACATGGATGGGAAGAGCAACAGCCTGTTTTCACTATCTGTGAGGAGAGTAGTGTATTTACTACAATAAATAAGACAAACAATCATTACTTTAAGAAAATATTCTAAGGCTGAAGAATATAGCTCAGTGGTAGAGCATGTGCTTAGCATGTGCAAGACCCTGGAGCAGAGAGAAGGAGCCAGGGAGGGAAGACAGAGGTAGGGGGAAGGGAGGGAGGGGAGGAGGGAGACAGGGAAGGAGCAAGGGAAGAGGAGAGAAAAAAGGAAGAAGACAATATCTGGCCTGTTTATCAATTAGTACATAAAGTACCCAGAATCTTGGTTTCTAAGTGTCATTCTCTACTAAAAGAAATCAGTGTTCTTGGGGCTGGAGAGATGGCCCAGTAGTTAGGAGCACTGACTGCTCTTGCAGAGGACCTGGGTTTGAATCTAGCAATCACATGGTGGCTAACAACTGTTCATAACTCCAGTTCCAGGGGATCTGATGCCCTCTTCTGACCTCTGCAGGCATTGTACAACATGAGTGCACTTACATACCATACATGCAGGCAATATACATAAAATAAAAGTAATGAAAAAAAAAAAGAAAGAAAGAAATTAGTGTTCTCTAAAGAAGTTGCTCATGACTTATTCCTGGGGTGAAGATGGAATAAATTAGAGCATAACAAATTTCAGACCTCATAGACGGAAGAATTGGACACAATCAAAGTTCTACCATGTATGTACAAGCTCATCTGTAAATATCCATAGACACCCACAAAGATCTAATTGTTAGGGTTCCAAACAGCAGCAGCTTCCCCCTCCCCAACAGGGACCTACAGACTTTGGAGCCTGAAAAAGGGAACTGAGCTGATAAGCACCTTGACCTTTGAAGTCAAGGGAAACAAACTCTGCTGAGAAGCAGCCTGCCTTTCCTCTGACCTCCAAAGATAAGCAGATTCTACCTGATAACCAGAGATTTTAGAAGATGTTTTTCTCTCATCTTAAGAGGGAAAAAGTAAACACTTCCACACCCTAATCCTACCTGCTTCCCCCTCCCTGATTTCTCCCCCAAACAACCCCCCCTTCCCCACCCCAAAGGCCCCATATGTAAAGTCCCAGCTCACAACCCCTGAGCTGACATCTTTCCCTTCCCGAGGGAAAGGTGCCCCATGCGAAATAAATCTGTGACCCACTGAGGATTCCATCTGAGCCTCCATGCCTCATCCATCCGCTCGTGCCTCCTCCATCTGCGCCGCTCACTCCCGCCCATTCTCTACCTATCAGTAGTCATACCAACTTAGAAATAATATCAATATATAAGGATTCCAATGGCATTAATAACTTCACTGACATTTAGTTCTGCTTATCCTTTTAGATTTAGACATTCTAGTGTGTGGTGGTTCCTCACTATGAATTTGATTCGCATACACCTGATGATGACACTGGCATCTCTTCACATGCTTATTTGCCATCAGGTCTACATATTACCAGTATTTTCTCTGGACTACTGCTTACCTTTTTATTTTCACCACTTTTGATCAGCAGAAACTTGGGATTTTGGAAGATACTCAATACTCATTTAATTTTCAGCCTTTTTTGTTTGTTTGTTTGTTTTGAAACAGGACCTCACTACATAGTCCCTGCTGACCTGGAACTCACTGTGTAGACCTATGTAGACCAGGCTGGCCTGGAACTCAAAGAGATCCACCTGCCTCTGCCTCCAGAGTGCTGGGATTAAAGGCACATGACACTTTGCTGAGCTGTTGAATTAATTTTTGCTTAGAATTTAAGGGTCAAAGTTATTTTTTTCAATATTTTTAAAATTTGTTTTTCTTAAATTTTGTTGTATTTCATACAGAATATCACAAACAATCTGAATCATCTTTATAGCCAGTCCCCACCAGACTCCTCCCATAGCCCTTCCCCCCACTGGAACCCATATACTCTGTCCTAGGTGTTAAGGCCCACTGTGTCAAGTCAGTGTCCCCAGACATTCCCCAGTGCAAGTCCATCCTCTTGCCATCTAGTCAGATCACGCTCATCTATCTATCCAAACACCTACTATCTTCTTTTTTTTTTAACAGAGCATAGGGTGGGGGTTTATTTATACAGAGGAGTGGGCACCCCCCATTTATGGCTGCACTGGAAAATCCACACTCAAATATAGATCCTGCGACTACCCAACAGCCACAGAAAATGGTAAGAGAGGTGCCTTCTGGCATTCTCTTATATATCCTTAGCCCCTCCTGCACAAGCAGCTAAGATGGACTGATTGGTTGGGAGGGGAACTGACTCCCACCTTGACTCCTTGATCAACATAGGAAGGAGGTGTGACTATTGCTTGCCAGCATAGTGGTTGAAGTACACTTCCAGTTAACACTCTACCCCTTCCTCTGGCTCTTACATTCTTTCCACCAACCTCTTCTGCAAAATCCCTGAGCCTTAGAGCAGGTGGTAGGTATGGGATGGTCTTCCTCCTATTGTGGCAAGGCACTGAACTTTTGGGTCTCTGCATCATCAGTTTTCCATGAGTGCATTGCAGTCATGTATGTAAGTGCACCCATGCGATGCAAGGTCCACGGAGGTCTGAAGAGGACATCAGATCCCCTGGAACTGGACTTACTGGTTTATTAGCCAACATGTGGGTGCTGGAAACCAAACCCAGGTCCTCTGCAAGAATAGTCTTAATTGCACAGATCTTAACCGCTGAGCCATCACTCTAGCCCCTGAAGGTTAATTTTTGTTTTACATTCTGATCTGGTTGTTTCAAAACCATTTGCTTAAAAGACTTTCTCTATTGCATTTCATTGTTATCAGCTCCAAATTTCTCACATTTAAAATTCACGGAAGGGTAGATGACATAGCTCAGCTGGTAATGGTGCCTGCTGCCAACTCTAACAACCTGAGTTTAATCCCCAATCCCAAGAACCCATGGTGGAAGGAGAATATAGATTTTCTCAAGTCATCTCACCATCACACACGTGCAGAGGCAGGCACTCATGCACACACACTAAA